TTACCATGATCGACATGTCCTAATGTAGCAACATTAACATGAGGCTTTAAATATTCATATGTTTTCTTTTCTGATTTTGGTTCTGCCATATCTATTATTTATATATTTATTATTTTAGGAGTTTTTGGTTATTCTTTACTTGTTAGATAAACCCGAAATTTCTCCCCCTTAGTTTTTGAGATAATGCTTAACAGGAGGCTGTTAACAATAAAAACAAGGTTAAGATAGTTGCCGCCCACTTGCATGAGAAATCTTTCTTCCCCACCTAATTTCAATTCAATAATGAAAAATTAAAATGAGAAAAATGATTTGGTGGGAATGGCTAAAAAGTTAAAAAATTAATCAAGAGGAAGTAATATGAAAAAAAAAGTAATAATTATTTCGTTAATGATAGTTTTTTTAATAGTAGGAGGGGGAATTGGGGTTTGAAAATTAAGTTCTAACAAGGAAAAAACTGATTCCTCTAGTCAGCAAAAAACTAATCCTCCCCTACATGAATTAAGCGACCAAGAGTTAAAAAAATGTTTATTAGAGGATTTTAGTCGACGGTTGGATTTGAAAAAATATTTTGTGTTTAATGTGGGGGAACTAACTAAAGAAAAAGTATTTCATGGGGAGATATTGCCTAATGGCGAAGTGGTTAACAAAGTAGAGTATGGCAACTCACGCAAGGCTAATTCATCTCTCGCTAGGGACTTGACTAAACTATCTAATTCGTATAACCAAGGAGGGAAAAATTTTGTAATTTTTCAAGATGAGAAATTTTCAAATCCTTCAAACGAATGAGAAAATAAGGAATTAGACCAAAAAATTGACCATGGCCATCTATTCGTTATATTCGAGAAAGATGATAATATTGATTATACTTATGGAGCAGAAGCAATGGGAGGGAATCGGTTTGATTGAGTTTTCATAAGAGTAAAATCCCCTACCACTACCATTTGTGATAGTAAAGAAAAAGTGTTAGAAGTCTTAAAAACTGATCCCGCTCTAACTGGTAAATTTTAACTATGAAATTAATTGTTGGTTTGGGAAATCCTGGCAAAGAATACGAAAATACCCGGCATAACTTAGGTTTTGTAGTTATCGATAATTTGACCCAGAAATTAGGAGTAGAGTTGCAACAAAAAAAATTTAATGGTCTTTATTTTCAAACTAGCGAATACCTGCTCTTAAAGCCCCAAACTTATATGAATAATTCGGGTGAGTGTATAACGGCTTTTCTAAATTATTTTCGTATTCCGTTGGATAACTTGTTGGTAATTTGTGATGATATCGCTTTACCATTAGGGAAATTTCGTTATCGCAGTCAAGGTTCAGATGGAGGTCATAATGGGATGAAAAATATTATTAATTTATTAAAAAGCAAGAATTTTAAAAGGCTAAGAGTTGGCATTGACTATGACCGCAATTTACTGATTAGAGATTGAGTTCTAAAAAACTTTTCGCGGTCAGAAAAAGAGGCAATCAAAAAAATTATGCCTGATTTAATTGATAGT